CCCATATTGGCACCAATGTCTGCTATGGACCCATGTGCATAGCAAAGGTGCAAGCTAAAGCTGCTGTGAGCTCCTTTGGGTGAAATCCTGGCCCCACTGAAGTTAATGGGAGTCTTGCTATTGACCTCAACAGGGCCAGGATTCCACCTCTCTAACTGCTGCCATTTTAGGGGGTGGGTAAGTTTTATTTTAATTCACTGTTCTTGGATGATGTCTTGGGATTTCACTCTGACCACAGATTTTTTTTTATCAAAGCACAGAAGACATTAGTACTACAATAGGCCTTTATTATAATTTCTCATTGTAAAATAGCACCTTTTTGTAAAACCGGCTCCCTTTTGAAGATTATTAGATATAATTTGCACCATTATAAAATGTGTGTCATGCACCAGATGGAATAACTGGACTCCAGATGTAGTTTGGCTTTCATCAGGAGTGATCAGTCCATATTCCAATTCACACTGTTTTGCTTAGGAAATAACTTTAAAGCCCCAACCTTACAGCTTTTGAAGTAGGTATTAAATTAGTTCTCCTTTGGGAATTTAATTTCTATAGCGTCTGTAGCCCTTGTGGCACAGAGTACTATTTATTATAAAGGTCAGATCCTCAGCTGGTGTAAACAATATAGTTCTATTGAAATCAATGTAGCTATGTCTTTATACACCAGCTGAGGATCTAGCCCAAGAATGCATCTATAGCTTTGTCTCTAACCTTCCACCTAGCCACAGAACTATCTGAAAACTTGGAAAGCTTTGATTGTTGTATCTATTTAACAAATACCATAAAAGATAGATATGTGGGAAAGTGTTTTATTAATTATGGTTATTTAATTTATGCAAAATTCATACTGGCTTCAATAGGAGGGTTGAGTCTAAATGTAAAGTACCAAAGCTATAGCTTAGAGTTCTTTATCCAATTGAGGACCAGAGGCTAAATTGTCATTTAAGGTAATCAGAGAAACAGATTCCTAGAAGAATAGCAATTATTTGCCATGCAAATACTTGCTCAAAGCTGACATATATGACAGACATAGTTGACAAAGAGCTTAACCTTGAAAGCCAACCTAAAAATGAACCCTGAGCGAGACAAAGATCACATTAAATTAGACATGATGAAGAAAAACTGATTAAACTAGATAGAAACATCCATGAACAGAAAGAAGAATATATCAACCTTGGATAGCCACTTAGATGAGATATAGAAAATAGATATGAAAATCAAAATGTGCTAAGCTGAAGCACTCTACAGGGAGAAGGTGGGCACCATGAATAGTCATCTTCAGCTTAACTGCAGCGGAAGGAAAGTCTCCATCAAAGTATGTGTATGGATAGCATATGACTCAGAGATATTATCCACCCTCAGGGAAAGTTTGCCACTATATATAGAAGTAGAAAAGCTCAATAATAGGAACCAATAAATATTTCCATTATTGTAAACTGCTGTCAAAGGAAAAACATCCTTAATAAAGACAAATCCACTAGCAGGACACTGCTAACCAACCAACAAATGTATTTTCAAAATGGGCACAAAATTCTGGAACGAGCTACAGAGGTGGGAATATTGACTGTGCATATTAACTGAATGAAATCTTTTTACAAAGTAAAATGTTTGCAAAATAATAAATTGGTGGTATTGAAGGGCCTGGGTATAATATGTAGCAGTTCCCCTGGTTATACCCTTTAAGGAATTTCTAGTAGATCTTCAAAATGGTGGTTTGTGCCTCTTGTGGAGGTGGAGTAATTATGCCGATGGGATAGCAATCTCCCATCGGGATAGAGCATCTTCGCCAGACATGCTACAGCAGCGCAGATGCATCAGTGCAATGCTTCTAGTGTAGACCTGCCCTAAGAAATTTTTACTAAAATTGCCATTTTTTGCTACCACAAATTCATTTCCTCTGGTGACAGTAATGATGGTGAAAGTGCCTGAGTACTCACAGAGTTCCAGGTGGCTGTTGGCTCAAACTGTGCTCAGATCAAGTATTTGTGATATGACACTTAAATCACAGGCAGTTGCTGGGTGGGAAATTTGTGCTACTCCCATCCCCAAAAAAGCAACAGAAACAAAACATTTTCATTTTCATCAAAATTGTTCCACCATTATTGGGTGGTGGTGGTTGGGGGGAGGGGGGTTAGCAGTCAAAAATTAAATTGTTTTGACAATTTTTGCTTGATGAAACCTGAAAAATATTGTCAACAATGGATATTTCCTGCAGAAATTTCCATTTCCATAAGATAGCCATCGTCTGTCCAAAATCTTTGACAGATATTTTTTTACTTGCTCTACTACTATTGCTACTGCCTTGCCTATACTAGTGTTTCCACCATATTTGCCACTCGATAAGCTGAATCATTGAGAGTAAAGGTGAAAATGTTTAGTTAAAATGCTCTATGGTAATATTCTGTCTCCACTGAAGTCAATGACAAAACTTCATTGATTTCTATAAGGTTAGGCTTTCACTTCTGCTATAGAAAAGGCCTTACTTAGTTGGTATGTCTGATGTCCATGTAGTCACCTGCATAATTTTTAGACATGTCCAAAAAGGACTCCAAATTCTAGAGCTCATTCTTTTTAGCATATGTGCAACATGCATCAGGTGGCACGTGACCAGGATTCATCACCAAATTTGGTCTGCTGGTTGGATCAGTAGCTTCCCCAGCCCGGGGCAGGTACTGATGGGGAGTGTGACGTGAATGCTTAGCTCACTGGACAATAGGAATTCCCTCGCTATATTAATTTACTGTATTTCAAACTTGGGGCCAGATATTGCTCTCATTGAAGTCCACTGTTAAACCTCAACTGACTGTAATGGGGACAATATTTTCCACATCTCTTTGTTCTAAAACAACTTCTGAAATTCTAATAGTTCTAGACGAGGGATCAGCAACCTTTGGCACGCGGCCCTTCAGGGAAATCCGCTGGCGGGCCGAGACAGTTTGTTTACTTGCAGCATCCACAGGTACGGCCGGTTGCAGCTCCCACTGGCCGCAGTTTGCCATTCCAGGCCAATGGGGACTGCGGGAAGCGGCGGCCAGCACATCCCTCAGCCCATGCCGCTTCCCACAGCCCTCATTGGCCTGGAACGGTGAACCGCGGCCTGTGGGAGCTGCGATCAGCCGAACCTGCAGACCCTTCAGGTAAACAAACCGTCCTGGCCCGTCAGCAGATTTCCCTGATGGGCCGCGTGCCGAAGGTTGCTGATCCTTGTTCTAGACCATGAGGTAAGAATTCTAACAGACATAAAAAAGTTAGCCTAAGTAGCAAGAATGAAAATAATATTATTTTAAATCCTTTGAGTAGTAAAATTGTGATATTATTCCACCACACTGTGATTTATCATATACTGTTAGTAAGACCACCCAAAATTGGAGTACAATAGTGAAACTGAATGGCGAACATTTTTAATTCATATATGCTGTTTTTAACACAGCCATCACTGTGACCTTCAAAAGGTCACTGAAGTCAATGGAAAGACTACTATTGATTTGGATAAGCTAAGGATCAGACTTTAGAGTATTAAAATTCTTCATAATACATTTTTGTTTTCTAGGCAATTGGTGAAAAGTATCAGCAAAGGTCATCACACAACTGGTATAAAAATAAACTTTTCTTAACTTGTGGTCACTTTAATGCTAAAGTATAAGTAGTAAAGAAAAATTATATTGGTGACTTATTACCAATCTGTCATTCTTGTGGGATATTATGTGTGATGTCTATATTCATCTCATAGATTCATGGATTTTAAAGGATCAGTATCAACATCTAGTCTGCCCTTTTGCATAGCATCAGCCCAGTAATTCCTGCATTAATCAGGAAAGCCCTGGTTGAGCTGCAGCATCTCTTTTAGAAAGAAAGCATATTTGCAGATGGGAGAAGAATAGCTCCAGCTTCTAATTTAAAAGTTTTATCAACAAACAAAGAGAAGCCCATCTCTGGATATACTGAAGCAAATTTTCAATTGATTTCTTACTGCGTGGCTAAATTACATTTTCTTTGTTATAAAATGGACTTCACCAGATCTTTTGTTCAACAAATACTGTGATGACTTTTCCTGATTAATAATAAAGGATCTAAACCACAAATGATCTCATGTTAGCCAGTTGAAGTTTGTACTTTTATAAGATAATAGTATGAATTCACAGCCATGTACTTAATATTGCCAAGTCTGAGAAGGTTAGTAGCCATACTAATTCTAAGAATGTTTTTCCTTTGTGTTAATGGGGTACAGCATGAAAAAGTGTTCTATATCATGTCCATATGAATATGGCAAATAAATTAATTTTGTTGAGTTTGTTATGCTAGGATGAAAATCAGAGGATGTTGTACAGAAGTCACTGTGGATACAATGTGGTTAACTATAAACTATATCGACATAAGTGCTACATAAGTGTACATTGATGCTTCCAGCAAACACTTCTGCTCTAATCAGGACTTTGAAAAAGGAATCAGCAAACGAAAGTATTGAGTACCGAGTAAAGGAAAGCTTGACTCATATGTGCAAAAATGTCATCTTTTCCTGTGCAATTTTGTTTTACCGAATTAGCATTTTTACACTGAGACCAATATGTTCAACAAGTTGTCTCATTAACCTTATTAATCAATCTCTTTAGTTGCTTTCAAAACAGCCCCAGAACATTCAGGACCATATTTCATGTACTCATTCAAAGCATCTGCTAAAGAGATATTGTATGTTTTTTAACAAACAGAATAATCGTCAACCTGATAAAATGGATTCAGCAGAAAGCTTTACTTTAGAGAGACACAGATGTTCAGTTTAATTACATTTACTTATTTCCAATCTATGAATATTTACTACTACAGACAAGTTGATATACTGGAGTTCTAGCTAGAAAAAAAACAACCTTTGAAGCTCTGATTACATGTAAAAAGAGCACACTAATTTTTCTCCTGGATCTAGTAATTTAGAACACTCTACATTGCTGCTATCGAAGTACAATCATTTGCTCCCCCAGAACCCTCAAGAATTATAAGGGACCTACCTTAGAAAGCCCGCCTACTTCCAAATAGAAGCAGATAATGAAAACATTCCAGGTGACCCAGAGGGCAGTCCACACCGTGTACTAGACAAAAAGCCAGATGACAGCAAAAAAGAAAGAAAAATAAAATGTGAAGATGGAAAGGCTTTATACTGAGCAGATCAATACTTTTTTTTAGAAAATATATCAATAACTATAGTTCTTCTAGGAACCAAAAAACAGGAAGAGTCCAGAAACAGAGTTCTCCTGACTCAAGTCCCTTAAGAACCATAGCAAATTACAAATCCAATATTCTCTCCTGCTCTAAATACATACCAATAAAAATTAGATTTATTTTTATGATGTTAGACTAGCCTCTTGATACCAGTTAATTCCAAAATGCTGACTTGATCACTGTTTTTTATGCATTTGTGACTCATGTCTATATCATTATTCTGCTCTGTTGCTGGAAATCCCAGAACAGTACAGTAATTTAGGTGTGCTATACCCTGCTAAATGTTTAGAGGAAACAAGTAGGAAAAACCCCACAAACAAACAAGAAGCCCCATTAGTCTGGTGCATGGATTTGCAGTGTTTTTGAAGCCATGTTGGTCCCAAGATATTAGAGAGACAAGGCAGGTGAGTTAGTATCTTTTATTGGAGCAACTTATATTGGAGAAAGGGACAAGCTTACCAGTCCCCAGACCTGAAGAAGAGTTCTGTAAAACTCATAAGCTTGTCCCTTCTACAAACAGAAGTTGCTCCAATGAAAGATATGACCTTATCTATTGTGTTTCTCTGACATTTGGATGTCATTTGAAATCATCAGGCAGGTGAAATTAAAGCTAAGCTTAGTTTCCATGAACTTTCTTCCAGTAAAAGGTATTTTAACAAGAAGTTATGGTATCTTTTCAACTGACCATGACAGCCCTGTCTGTTTGTTGGTTTTGTTTTTTTTCCTCATATTTGCCAAGAAGTAGACAGCAGAACAAATTCAGAACTGGCATGAATGGGTATAATTCTGAAATCAATGGCACTGCACCGACTTACACCACAGTTCAGTTCGGTCCTGTGAATTTAAAGGTAGCAAGAAACTTAGGCCATGACCCTACAATGAGCTCCAGGGAGATGGACTCCTGAGGCGACATGGATCTCCTCTGGGGACCCTGGCACTCCATGCTGGTGCACGGATCTGTTCACACAGAGCACATTGCATGACTGGAAAATCAATTTTTATTACTATCCAGATGCTGTTTACAATGGGAATGCACAATTTCCCTATGTGGTATTGTGAAACTTTGCAAAATTAGCTATCCAAATGTTCTAGTTCAGAACCATTTATGTATGAAGAGCTAATTGCACAAGAAGCAATGCTGGAGCTACACCCAACTAAACTGTGTAATGAGACGCTGCAATGGCATTGCCACTTTACATTTACAGCTTTACAATGGAGAATTGCGCTGAGCAGCTTTGAGGGTCTAATTTGGTGTGACCTGCTCAGGATAACATGCTATTGTTTTGCCTCAATATACTCTCTAAAACCAAATACCCTAATCTCCAATATGCCCGATCCCTTTTCTAATCCAATGATACTGTTAGTTTGACTTTGTTGTATAATTTTTATTATGTTTCTTTCTTCCTCCTCCTCCCTGAGGTCTATAATGAAAAGATTCATATGAAGGGGGTTGATCTTTTTCATAGACCCCTGTACTTCCGTGGCTTCTATACACAAAACAGGTTAGTTAGTTAAATTTAATTTGTTATAATGTATAGTACCCATGTGGCTTGAGGATAACTATTACGTCAATGGCGAAGAATTACTGTACAAAGTAAGAGCAACAGACCTGGCCAATCTCCTGTATGTTACAGAGAAGATCAGTGTACTAACTGAGGCCTGCTTTTAACCTTTTATTTAAACAGCAATAAAATTGTTAAAATTACTGTGGTCTATCTGCAGTAAAGGTTTTGGCTTTTTATCATTATTATTTACTTAAATGGGATAGTGTCATTTTCATCACATACAGACTTTGCATTAACTCACTACAGACTCTATATCAAAGGCAATAACTGATTTATATGTATGCAGTAACCAAGTTGTGATGTGATGTGATGTGTATCTTCGGTGCACAGAGCAGCTAATACCAATGTGCCAGAATTTTACTCAGGTTTAGCCATAATGGTTCATAAAAGCAGATTTCAAAATAGACAGGGGAAATCCATTTTTTAAAACCATATTAGAGAACTGCACAGGTCTACATTAACATGTCAACTGATATTTAGTAGTAATGGGACAGCTGCTTCATCCTTCATACTTCATACCAGGACAAATCCTGCAAGACCTGATCCTGGTCCCCCTAGCTTCATTTCCAGAAATGTGTTGATTGAAATTTCCAAAATAAATTCAGCCTGAGGTGGACACTGATCATGGACAATTTCAGCCCAAATAGTTAACATTTGGCAAAGTTATAAGCAACTGAAAATAGGATCATATAATGGGAAACATCGGGCAACCTTAATAATAGGCCACTAGCTCTGTGTAAAATATTTCATGAGGGAGACTTGCTTGTTTAAATTTGTTTCTTTTTCTCTTTTGAAATTCTGCTTTTTTATATATAGGTCTGAGACAGAATTGATATATATCTATAAATATATCTATAAAGCTATATCTATAAATATGTACAAATTAATATAATAATAATGGAACATTTATATAGCTCCTTTCATTCTGAGGGGTCTCAAAGCATTTTGCATATTTAAACTGATACAGAAATTACATTTAATCCCCCAGTGCATTGCAGCCATTTTTGGAGTAAAACACAGCAACTGTTTAACAATGCCCAGTGCCACTAAGCAGTTTAGGACAAAAAGTGTGCAACCGAAAGGTAGGAAGTTCCGGGGTTTGTATTTGACTAGGATACTGAGATTGATACTTTAGTTTTTATGAAAAATGGCCATAAGTAGCCATTCAATTTTATATCTCATCTGAAATGCAGTACCTCCAGTAACACAGTGTCCCTGACTCTATAACAGTATAGAGTGCTAATTCAAGGGAAGAAAGGCAACTACTGAGTCATACATCTAGGTGTGCCCTGGAGGTATCACAAGTATTGACAGAGCCCAACTCAACTTAATTTATGAGAGATGAGCAGGAATCATAGAACAAGGCAATATGATAGAACATGAATACTGTCAGGGCAGGATTTACCAAAGTATTATAGACAGTATCACAAAGCAGCTTTGAATACCTAAATATTATACACGTTTTTGAAGCTGTAAGGTTCTGTGTGGAATGACTTTTCCTTGATCAATGTATATGGCATTTCTATATGTCCTAATTTCTTTCTGTTTTAAATCTAACTCTCTCTAGGTGTTTATACTGCACACATCACTAGGCTATAACAGCACCTCATATATCATATTATTTAATTGAGTAAATTAAGCTAATTAGATCCACACTCAGTTTAGGTTAAAGTGTCTTATTTTCACATCTCATTGTACAATAATGCATTTATGCTGAGCTGGGCCAGGTTTGCACCATCTTAACCATATGACTCATCATTCTGAGTGTTTTTCAACTTCATCACAGTGCTAGAAAAAAAAAACTTTAACAAGTATTCTGTTAGCATTATTAATTGATCCAAACAGGTTAGAAATATTGCTAGCTATGGGAGTTCTGTGAAGAAAGGAAAATAATGTATAGAGAAATGGACCATGGTGTAACTTCACAGCTGAGTGATTAGTATATTACATTGTGGGTTAGAATTCAAATTTAATTCTTCTTTGTTCTTTGCAAATTAATATTTGTATAAATTTCAGATGAGCTAATATAAGAAAATTATGAACCAGTTTTTCATTTTGATGCCCGCCGGGAACTTTGGTCAGATTAATCTCATCCACAAAGTTTTCAAGTGTCATAAATGTTATATCTGCTAAATGACATGGTGGATTGTTTTCTGAGCTGTATTTAAATTAGAAGTTAAGAGAAAAAAAAGAGTTAAAATAATGGAACTGTTTAACTTAAGATAAGCAGTATATTCAGAGTTGAGGCTGTCATTTCATTCCATCTTTCTCTCACCATCGGTTGGCTAGGTTGCACTAAAGGTCTCAGACCTTTGGAGGACATTACACAGAAGTGATGGCTGGACATGACTTCTTCCATCCTGGAAGCCCATGGGATTGTGCCTTTTCTTGCAGGTGTAGCCCTGGCCACAGTGATCCTTGCTTTCATCATGTTAAGGCAGTGTTTCCCAAACTTTCTCATGGAGTGACCTCCTTTACACTCACCTCTGTTAATGCAACCCCCGATACTTAGCATTCAGGTTGGCTTTGCACAAATGAACACCCTATTTTAATAGTCTACTTTGAAAACTATGGGTGGGTAGCCAGGCCCAGATTAACTAATGTGCATTCAGTGCACTTGCACAGGGCCCCCATTTGAGAGGCTCCCCTGACCACCAAACCAAAGAGAAAAAGCAACGGGGAACTAGTGGCCTGGGGACCACATCCAGCCCGCCAGACCATTTTATTTGGCCTGCCACCTCATGTGCCTGCCACCCCACTTTCCGATCTCACCATGTTGGCTCCTGCATCCTCCACATGGAGCCAGTGACCTGGTGCTGGCCAGAGAAGGCATGCTGCCACGGATGCTGTGAGAGTGCTCTGTTGTTTCAGGTGCAGTTAATGCTGCTTAGCTGCCCCTAGCACTGTTTGCTTAGAAGCTTTCTCGCATTTTCTTTTTTTCCCTCATCTCGTGACCCTCCTAGTACCCTTTTGCAAAAACTGCTGCCTTAAAGACAATAGTGCATCTACTATAACATGTGTTAGCTGGCCCAATTGTGAAGGGCACCCAGAAGCAGCATGTAGCAACTTGTTTGCCAAATGGGGCAAAGAAACAAGAACATGCCACAATTATTAATAAACTTAACACTACATTGGGGGCCAGTTGAATTCAAGGTCAATTTCAGTATACTGGTCCTCATGGTCAAAGACCTGAAAGACCTGTGGCCTGGATACTGCTGTAATAACTGGGCCTACAAATTTACTATAATTGTGAGCTCAGCTGTGAAAAGTGAGTGTAAGTTCATAAGATGACACAATAACCTATA